GTAACCTTAATTAGCTAAGTATAGTAGTTAGATCCCTTATACCCTAGGTTACCTTAATAAGTATACTAGAGCGTTACTATAACCTATACGTAGTTAATTATTAAGTCCTGTTTGTTATATTACTATTATATTAGCTCTCTTTAAGGTATGTATAGTAAGAGCTACTACTTATAGGCTAGATAAAGAAGGGTCTTTAATTTAAGGGTAGTCTTACTAGCTTTATCTTAGAGTAAGTAATAAAGGTTTATATTACTTATAATAATCTATAGCCTCTTTAGGTCCTTTTTAGTAAGCCGCTAGAAAGGGCTAGCCTAGCCTAGAGAGTTAGGAATTAGTAAGTATATTAACTAGATAGTAATACCTTATAAAGTAACGTAACACTAGTTAACGCCTATCTCTACTACTTAAGTAAGAGGTAAGTACTACTTATAAACGTAAATAACTACTTTACCTTTACTCTTATAAACCTACTAGTACTTTACTTATACTAGGTAGTAGACTGTCTTTATCTAAGTATTATACTATAGCTCTTAAATTACTATAACGTTAACTTTATAGCTATTATAAAGTACTATTAAGGTAAGGCCGTTCTTTCTTATAGTATTCTAGTATACTATTATTAATTTTATTACTAAAAGTCTAGGATCTATAAGTCTTACGTTATAAAAGGGTTACTAGACCCTTAGCTAGCTCTCTAGCTTAACATCTCTATAATGTCGTAGCTCTAGACTATTACTATATCTAGTACCTTAATAAAAGGGCGCTCTTACCTTACTAGAGTTCTTACTATAGGCTTCTTACTATTACTTATCTATAGTCTCTTAAGTACTATAATCTAGTAGCTATTATTACTATCTTATAAGGACGCTAGCGTAATACTAGGTACCTAGCTAGTAAAGCTACTCTTAGATACCTTAAACTATCTAAGCCTTTGTTAATATATAGTATATACTTACTCCTTTACCTTAAGGGCCTTAAGACACTAATAGTCTTACGTTATATATAGTCTACTATAGTTAATATATCTCTTTTTACTATTAAGCTAAAGGTACTCCTCTTTACCTTAAGGGTACGCTACTCTTATATAGTAGCTATACTAGGCCTAGTTCTTATAGAACTACCTAATGTAGCTAAACTAGTAGTACTAAAAGTATCTTTAGATTTATAGGTTAGCTAAATATAGCTTATAGTTAAAGATCTAGGCTTACTAGATTAACCCTTATTTATATAGGCGTGTCGTTACGTTAGTACTCTAAAGGTATAGTACTACTATTATAAACTTTACTATAAGGGCCTTAACAGGCTTAACTTTAACCTTTATAATATATAGTGTATAAGCTTAGATCTCTACTAGTAACGCTCTTAGCTTTACTTATATAATCTGTTTTACTAGTAGGCCCTTTACGATTACTATAAACTTACTCTTATAAAGCTAGGCTATAAGCCTAAACGCCCTTTATACCTAGCCCTAATCTTAGATTACGTTCTTTAGTATAGCCTCTTTAAACGTAAGAATAGTATTACTACTAAGTAACTAGTAAGTCGCTACTACCTTAGTACCTCTAATTACTATATTAACTACTATTACTACTTTAATAGTACTACGACGTACTAGGTCTTTTATCTATTTATCTACTCTAATCCTTAGCTCTTTAATCTACCTCTCTAGTATAACTTATACTCTTATTAGGCGCTAGCTTACTACTAACGCGTAGGTAGCCTAAAGGGCTACTATTACTACTAGCCTCTAGAAGGCCTCTTTTAATATCGTTCTTAATTATCTAATTATTACTAGGTTATCGTTAAAAAAGGACTTAAGGGTATATAAAAGAGTCGTTGTGTTTATAGCTCTTGTCTTTACTACTATTATTATTATAACGATAAGGTTATATAAAAGACGCGACGCCTTTTCCTCCTTACCTAGTATTACGTAGGCTTTAATCCTTTATATGATTTTCTCTATCTTATTATCCTTATTACTTTTACTACTCTCTAGCTCTTTACTATAGCTCTTAGTTAAGGTATAAGAGTACTAGCTCTTACTTATAAGTAAGTAGTATTAGCTCTATTTAAGTCTAGTACACTTACTATCCGTTACTATAGGCTTGCCTATAGTCTACTAGTACTTTAGAGAGTATCTAAAGGTACTAATTTTAATTCTATTGTTTATTTTTAAGTTTTTAAGGTAGTAAGAGGTATAAACAACTGTTTTTTAAGATTTAAAGTATTTATATAGTAAGTATAAATTTACTTAATAACTAGGCTACTAGTATTAGTAGTAGTTACTTTATACCTTACTTACTAAAAGGGTTTTTATAATACTAAGAAAGTCTTTTTATGTATTTAAAGTTTAGTTACTAGATACTCTTTACGTATTTACTAGTATAGATAAGGTCTTTAGAATATAAAAAGAGCTTTCTCTAGTATAGTATAGTATTAAAGAGGCTCTATAAGAGCCTTTTTATTACTTTATCTAAATAAGAGTTTCTTTTTTTAACGTTACTACCTTAACTACTTTAAAAGTATCTAAGATCTTACTACTTACTATATAAGCCTTTAACTTAGGCTTTAAATAATTAATTAAGAGGTAGATATAGAATATCTCTAGAAAAGTATAGCTAAGTTTAATAACTAAAGAGTTATACTATTAAAAGAAATTCTTAAAGGTCTTGTTTTAGTTTTAAGTTAATATATAAAGTTTTAATACTACTTTAAGAAAGTAAGTACCTTTATCTATAATACTATAAAAGAGCTATACCTTTATTTTTTCTTAAGTTATATTAAGAACTAATCTACTTTTTTCTAAAAAGATAAAAGACTTTTAGTACTCTTTAATATAATCTTTTAGTACTACTACTATAGTACTAATACGTTTAGTATTTGTTAGATAACTCTTTAGATAAGTATTAAACTCTGTTTCTTAGTTAAATAAAAAGGTAGTAATACTAGTATATGTCTTGTTTTTTAGTAGAATAAAAAGAGTATTATAATAACTCTTTCTTATTTCTTTAATATAGGTTTACTAAAAGGGCTGTTCTACTTTAAAAGGGTTATTAAATTTATATAGGTTTATTAAGAGAGCCTCTCTTTTCTTAAGTACTATAAGGTAGTCTTACTTTTACTTAAGGTACTACTTTACCTTTACTTAAGTAATCTTCTTGTTTAACTTAGTCTTACTTAAGAAAAGGATTTCTATTAACATTTAGAGAGTTGTACTAGGTTTACTACTATCTACTTATAAAGAGGTATTCTAAAGAGTTACTTAAAAAGAGGCTTACGTCTTATTAAGGTTTATTTGTTATGTCTATATTATTACTTCTTACTCTAATAGTCTATAACCTTTTAGTAAAAAAGAGAGATTAGAATGTTAAGTATATTTTTATAAAGTAAAAGAGGTAAGAGTTAATAAATAGTTATAGTATATTTAAAGGTATATTACTACTTTAACTATAGACTAATCTTTAAACTCTCTTTCTTTTTCTTCTCTCTTTTCTATTCTTATACTTCTTAATACTTACTATTACCTTAGTTATAGTATATAGTTACCTTATACTTAGTTTCTAAGCTATTATAGTCTTACGTGTTAGTGTACCTAATAGTTATACTATTAAGGTAATATAAAGGATTTATAAGGTATAAGAAAGAAGAATAAACTAAGAAAATTAAGGGAATTTAAAGATAAGTTTATAGTTTATATAGTAACTTACTTTTGTCTTTAATAATATTATATATCTGCCTTTAACTCTTTTACTCTATAAAAACATACCTAATAGTAGTATAGTAGTATTACTTACCTAGTTACTTATAGTACTCTTTTTTACTATAAGTATACTAATAGCTACTAGCTAGTTACTTTAGTTTTTTATCTAGTAGTTTATTATAATGTTAAGAACGTCTTAAGAACAAGACTTAATCTTATAAGAGACAGATGTTATAGAATAGTAGTAAAGAGTATAAAGAATACTAGTACTAAAGAGTACTTAGTTAAGATATATACTTAATACTTATACTAACAGGTACTACGCTACTATATATAGACGTAGTAGTAGAAAACTAATAGAACTATCTTTTACTTAATACTTTATTATAATACTTATATATATGTACTACTCTTTAGCTTTAACCAGCCCTAGCGTGTCTACAGGTACGTAAGGTCGGCGCATTCCTAAGCTTGACCCCTAAGCCCCTAACACCGGCCGCCGCCTTTAACATCTATAAAGCTAGCGCTTCTCTTGCTACTCGATTATTATCTTTCTTGTTCACTTTCTAAAACCTCGCTCGGCCGTTTGGTACCATTCTACGCTATTAGTCCTTGCCGCCTGCTTTCACGTATAATGCTCCCACGTTAGTCTCCCTGCAGCAGAGGGTGACCGTGCAAGCTTCTTGAAGCCAGCATCTCTATTTCACACTCTAGATTCCATGTCCTCTAAAATCTACGACAATAGATATTCCTTTCAACTCGGTCAGAATGTTCGAAAGATGAGATGATCAAAGTCCATCGCCATTAGAGAGAAAAAGGAAGGGTCTGCCCAATTCTTAGACGACAAGCCCTAATAAAAGTGTCTAGTAGATTTGCACACAGAAAGGGGTTCTTAAGGTCACGTGTCCCGAGACAGATTTTCGCTCTCGATATTCGTGCTGCCTAGAAATCTAAGGGTCCTACCTGAAACCTGTATGTTCTTATGAGGCTCAGCTAGAGCAATAGATTGGCCGAACCAGCCTCACTTTCCATATGAACTAGGGGCCTCAGGATAGGCAGCATAGCCCTGCCGCATAGCCTCTATAGGAGCGCCTCGCGACTCTGATGCTAGCTATATATAGAGAGATCTCGATCTCTTTCTCCATCCCAACTGTCCCTCCATCCTCTACTATTTCTAACTCAATCAATCCATTCACCACCAATTGCTCCTCGTCACCTTCTCAGAGCAGTCAACAGGTACGTACGAAGTTCTAATCCACAGCCCCAAGACATTCTGCTGACGCCAATTGTTCATAGAATAATGTCCAACAGCAATGCAAAACAGGAGGAGCCTACGGTTTCCCTTCCGGCGAGTCCGGCGACGGACAGTGAAGTCGATGTAGAAGAAGATCTGTACGCCGGCATGACCGACGAGGAAGCCTGGAGGAAGTATCTTTCGACGAAATACGAGCACAGCTCAAAAAAGCCCATAAAAGAGCCTCTCACAGCACCTTGGGGTCTACCAATCAGCGACGCAGACCTAGAAAAGCTGAAATTCGGCGTCAAATCTCGAAATATGGACGACAAATGGGACGTACTAAATGAGGATCCGGACAAAGACAGTAATATATCTATCCATATTCTTCGAAGCTGGTCACAGGAGGACTGCTATATACTTCACATTGTTCTAAAGCCGAATAGTGACAATAATAGCGGAAGTGCGAAGATTCAAAGCATCACGTGGGAAGGAAACAAGGGAGGGTTACAATGCGATGCAGAGCAGGCCAAAAAGGAAGCTGTGGTTGTGTCTAGGATGGTACTCAAGTGCGAGTTTGAGACGCTCCCGGACTATCCATCCTCGGTGCTTTGGCAATCGAGTGCTTATAAGAAACTGGACGCGGAATAGGAGTTCTGTGGCCTATTCCTACTGCCTAACAACAGTGTAATCGATAGTTTTCTCGTTCTTGGCAAAAACGGAATTAACTGCCGTCCGTTACCGCCTAACCTGTCAAAGTATGCAATGAACAATTCAGCGAGGTCTATTGCATTAAAGACTAAAAAGCTCTTACAGGAAAAAGGGCTGTACTAAAGATGAAATTATTTATGGTTTCGCGTAGGACCTACTCAAAGTCATGTGATTTAGCATCTCCTTCCTTCACACAGACTACCTCCTGAAGTTCGACGATCCATACCATTTCCACCAAGGCATTTTACATATCTATCAGACATCAAGGCTCCAGCTACCCTGCGGCCCTAAGTGGCCCCCAGCGTGCCTAGGGTACACGGGGTCGGCGCGTTCCTGATCCTGACCCCTGAGTTTCTAACACTCTCCTTGAAAGTGTCAAAAAGTGTCAGGTTACAGAAGGTGTACAACCTCATTAGTAGAGCAGAAAAGTAGGATACAAATTATACCTATTCCAGATGTACGCGCTTGCGAAAGTCAAGGCCTTTCCGCATCAATGGGTCTAGGAATGATCTCGTGCTCCATTGTCTCCTCTACCGACCCTTGGCTCTGCTTCCTTTACTGCTCTCGCTCTATCCGAGTCTCTCTAATCCGCGTAGGCTGCGCAGAAACCCATGGGTCCCTACCAAATAGGTTAGGTACCTACCCTATAGGGTAGGTTATAGTGAATAAGACCTAACCTATAAGTCCCTAAATAAATCTACGACCTAACCTATAGGGTAGACCTAACCTATAGGTATAGTGTATCCTAAGGTACTAAGGTACCTTTATACTTATGTAATACCTAAGGTTATAATCATTAATTAGTATAAAGATTAGTATAAAGATTAGTATAAAGATTAGTATAAAGATTAGTATAAAGATTAGTATAAAGATTAGTATAAAGATTAGTATAAAGATTAGTATAGTTATCCTAAGTTTAAACGATTATAAAATAAATAAATTAAAATAGTTTTATATATATTTATTTTAGTACTTAGGCTTTACTATCCTTAAGTCCTTACCTACTTTGTTACGTAATCTAAAATAGATCTTTTATCCTATAATTCTTATACTTGTTTCCTTAGTGTATTAATACCCTTAAGAGTCTTTAGCTTAGATCCTAGAGGTAGAGTTAGTAAAACTAACTTTACGTTATTACGATCTTTATTAACTACTAGCTTAAGAATGTCCTTATCCTTAAGGTCTTCTAGTAGATTATAGATTAACAGATCTTACGTAGTATTTCTCTTCTTACGCTCTACTATTTATATACTACGTATTTTACGTATAGACATAAAGAGTACCTAGGTATTATCTTAAGCTATAAAACAAGCCTATAAGAGCCTCTTATATATAATAGTATTAAGGCGTCTTTATGTCTATAGTGTTTACGCTTAATAGCCCGGCCGGTTTAGTTCTCTTTCTTTATTACTAATATAGTAATTTACTACTTACGTATTAACTTTTTTTAGACGTAAGTTAATAGATGTTTCCTACTCTTTTAGCTTAGCTTTTATCTCTTCTTTAGTTATACTATTAACATTAATAGTGTTAGAAAGTATCCTTCTAAGCTTGTTACCTTACTCTTCCTAAAGTTAAGAGAAAAAAACTAATATAAGGGTATAAATAGCTAAAGGTTTAAGTTAGCTATAATAATAGCTATATATATTACGTAAAAAATTAAAGAGGCGCTTAATACTAACGCCTATAAGAGGAATATAGAGTAAGTCTCTAGCTATTACTATAAGGCTAGAGAGACGAGTCTTAAGCTACTACTAAACTAAGAGGAGTATATAGTTATTAGGTTCTAGTTTTAAGTTAGTAATTAGTATAAAGATTAGTATAAAATAACTTACTTATTCTAAGCTATATATCTACCTTATTATCTACTATATCTATACTTAACGATCGATCTTAATCTAATACTAATACTATAGTATTTATGTTTACTTCTTAGAGTATTTAAAGACGATTAGAATTTCTTATATAATTACGATAGTTCTTTTAGTATAGTTTATAAAACTACTCTTTAAACTCTAATTACTAATCCTTTACTTTAAAATTAAGCTAATAATAGTTAGGATTAAAAGTCTCTAATTTTAACCTTAGGTTTAAGATTATACTTATTATATAAATACTACTAAGATCTATATATATCTTATTATAGTATTAGTCGAGTTTAGCCTTAGTAGCGTTAATACCTTAGATAAGAATACAAACCTATAGTTTTTGATTAACTTTTGCCTTTAGTTAATAGTAAGATTTAGTTAGGCGTTTAAACAACTTGTTATAGATCTATAGAGTATATAGTAAGGTAATACTCTTTGTCTTACTAATAGTAGTCGTAAAAAAATTAAATAAGTAAAGAAGATTAATTAAATATCTAATTTAATCTTACTTAACGCTTAAGATCTAAAACAAGTATACTACTATATAATCTTTATAAAATTTGTTAATAGTGTTCTAAAGTCTTATTACCTAAATTAACATTAAAATAGTAGAGTCTTATTAAGTAGCTACGTCTATAATTAATTAAAGAGGACGTATTAGATTATTATAAGCTAGCCTATTTTAAATCTGTTTAAAATATTCTTATCTTTACTTACTTAAGTTAACTAGTACTATAAGCTTCTAAATCTATATTTAATTAGTATAAAGATTAGTATAAAAATTATAACTAATCTATACCTTTACTAGTATATATAGTATACCTTAGTTACTTACTTATTATATCCTTTTAAGCTCGTTTATCTCTTACTTATTCCTTTAATCCTAAATAAATGTTTTATTCGTTAGTTATAGTTAAATTATACCTAAGAGCGCTTTTATAGTAAGCTAAAGAATATATAATAGATAAGGAATATATTAGATTTACTTATTAAGAAAACGACTATTCTTTAGTACGTCTTTAAGATATAAATTAATTTTATCTACTATCGTATAGTTATTACTAGTATTATTAGTTATAATCGATATTACTTAACTAGTTAGGTTAAGATTTATTAGTAAATTATTAATAACTGTCGCTAGGGCCTATCTTAAATAAACATTACGTAGGTTTTTAAACCTAATTAACTCCTTCTAAAGTACCTAGTCTTTATTAATATAATATACTATAACGCTTATAAACAAAAGGCGCGTAGGACTTAACTAATAATTAAGAGATAAGGCTACCTTACTACCTAGTACTAGGTTTATAAGTATGTTCTTTTTAACTTAAGTAACGCGCTATGTTAGGTAGGTCTATATAGTTGTTACTAATAGTAATTAAAAATAAGGATTTAATAGCTTTAATAGCTATTAGAGATTAGTGTTTTCTATAGCCTAAAAAGAGAGTTATAAAGAAACGATTGTTTTAAGGACCTAGTCCTAAAAAGCCTTAGTTATAAGGGTAGTAGACTATATATACTAGTTAGTTTATACTAATCTTTATACTAACTAGTTGTACTTATAGTTATAGATAATAAAATAGCCTTATAAAGAGAGAGTTGTCTTTATAAGCCTTAACTTTAACTTATAGATACGTTAACACATTATTTAGACGTTAGGTATTTTATAAGAGTAGTAGTACTAGTTATAAGTACTCTTAAATTAGGATAAGCAAGTATTATAGAACACTTCTAGTATATAACTACTAGTTTACTAGTATACTAATTTGTAGCCTAGTAGAATTATTACTAGTATACTAATCTTTTAGTTATATCTTAACCTAGCTATTTTACTATATTAGTATTATTTAAACCTACTATTATAGCTACCTAATCTGTCTATAGCTACTAGGTAAGGAATTAGTAATATTAGTCTTTAGTCTACTAGAAACATTAATTTCTTTAGCTAATAGTATTTAGTAAAGGTCTATTAGTAATAGTGTTATTACTAAATAGGTTTATAGCTAGAAAGAAATTAGAAATAAATATAGTAGTAGATAATAAAGACATTATATAATATTATTATTATTATTATTATTATTGTTCTTACTGCTTATGCCTACTGTATACAGAACCTCTATACTACATAAATCACGTAGTAAAACCGTACTAAAGCCAGGTAAAAACCTATGTACTACTACTTGTGTTTACACTATTACGGCGCTACTAGGGCGCTAGGTCCTTATCACTACCTTACTAGAACTTAACCTTCTAGCCTAGTAATACTAAATATACTAACAAGACGCTAGTAAGGCGCCGGCAAGACGCCGGCTACTAGCTAGGGCTACTCTCTCTCTTATAACTCCTCTACTAGGTAGCGCTTAGCTAGACAAAACTATAGAAATCGGCCGGTAGATAGTAGCTAACAGATTAGTATATAAGCGCTCTTACCTTTCTTTATTACTGTCGCGAAGTTACGGAACGTCTATAGCGCTTTTAAGTAGAGTACTTACTATAAGGCCTACTACTATTAATCTAGCTACTAGTAGTTAAGGACTAGGTAAGCCGCTATCTTTAGGGCCTTACTATAAGGGCACTAAGAGGTCGCTACCTCTAGTACTCTATACTTAAAAAGAAAAGCCTAGAGTCTAACTTTACTAGTATAGATCTGTGTTAAAAGAGAGCTCTTGTACTTATAGAAGAGTAAGTACTTCTTAAGGGCATCTACTAAAAGGGCAGGTAGCGCGGCTAGGACAGCGCCCTAGTAGTATACTAGTAAGCTGTCGTATTAAGACTATCGTGCCTTCTAGTTCCCTTATAAGGTCTCTTCTAAGAAAGAGTCCTTGTACTAGTCCTTTACTTATATAGCTTAGCCTGCCCTATACTTAAGTAACGTATAAGGTAGTACTATAGTAGCGCTATAGTAGTATCTCTAGCGTTATTAAAGACAGGCCGCTACCTTATTATAGATAGACTATATAAGTTCTTTCTTACTTATACGTTTAAGACATTGTTTAAAGTCTACTACCTACTTATTAAGGTAGAGGTTAAGTAAGGGCGTAGCTATTTTAGACTTAAGGAACTAGACAGGCGTCGCTTAGTACGCCCTCGCGACAACGCAGAGGTACTATAACTACTTTGTAACAAGGTCTTTTACGATCTCCTTAGCTTACTACCTAAAGGGGCGGTACTAGACCCTTACGCTATATACTATAGTACTCTAGATTACCTTTGTATAGATCTCCCTTACGCGTAGTAGGCTATATCCTTACGTAGACGTAGTAAGCCTTATAAGTACGAACTACTAGGTAGCAAACTTTTGTTTAATAGCGTTAAGGTAGCCCTTTTATCTAAGCTTCTAGTCTAACTAAACTCTTAGAAAGCGCGCCTCTTAGACTAGGGGTATAACCTGGCCGTTAAGGTAGACAGGCGTCGTTAGTATAGCGTAGGCACAGGTAAGGTAAAGGAGCTTACTCTTTTCTAGGGCGAACTCTATTCCCTTTATACACGACTACTAGCTATATGTCTACTACGCCCCTTTAAGGTACTAGCGTATCTCTATTATGTCTCTACTAAAAGCTAAGAGGTTAAGGTCGTTAGTAAACCCTACTATAATAAGGCCTGTATAACCTTATAGTAGCGTGTATAAGCTAGTAGTATAAAGGAGGAAGAGGATAAGAGAGAAGGGCGAACCTTATAGTACCTTTATAGTAACTTCTTAGGGCGGCGCTACCTCTTTATTAAAGAAGAGACTAGCTGTCCGATTAGTAAGGAAGCTACGTACCTACTGTACGGCCTATATAAGGAACCCTAGGTACTAGAGAGTATAAAGAAGGCGTATGTAGTTTACTATATTAAAGGCGCCTTTAATGTTAAGTTAAAAAAGGGACGCTATAGCCCTATAGCTTTACGCTATATACGTAGCGTTAACTACTATTTTGACTATAAGGTCTGTTAAGCGCTATAGCCGGTTCCCTATCTATGTTTTTAAGAGAAGCCCTTACGACTCTATAGCTTTAGTAAAGTACCGGCTAATTACTAACTTAATTACTTTGCTTATCGCGTTTAAGAGTAATATTAGCCTATAGGCCTTAGCGGTTTGTTACTACTTAAGGGTCTTTCTAGGCTTATATAGTACTACTACCTTTACTACTTTAAACTACGTAAAGAAGTGCCCTAGCTAGAGGCTTATAGTTACTATTACTATAAAGAGTTTAGCTAAGGGGCGCCTATATGCCTTAAGGAAGCTAGTAGGTAGTAGGTTAGGGCCCGGCGCCTTTTAGGTACTTGTCTTTTAGAGAACGTTAGTAATATCTACCTCTATTATAACGTCGTTAATAGTAAACCGTTAGTACTACTCGTCCTAAAGGTCTAGAATAACGTTACTAAGATTAGCTATTAATTCTAGAAAGAACTATCGGCCTAATACTATTACTTTATTATAGTAGCTTATAGCTAGTACCTCCTTGTTAGCGCCTTAAAGAGGTAGGAGTAAGGCCGGTTCTAGAAGTATATAGCTATAGAGCCTAGCCTACCTCTTAAGACTTTATAGTTTCTATTAGTCCTTTAAGACAGTAGTAAGGGCGCCGCGCTAGCTTCTAGTTTTTATGTCTTGTATTATATAGAGTTAATAAGTACTAGCCTACTAGAGGTCGCGCTAGTAGAGCTTAGTTAAGGCAGTAGCGTATTAATAGCGCGCTACCCGTACTTACTAGACGGCCTTAAGGACCTTACTGTTTTACTAGGGCTTAGTACGCCCTTAGTTAACCTTCTTCCTTAAGGTAGATATGTCTATAATACGTACAAGCTAAGAGGTAAGTAAGTTAATTACCTTATTAACCTTATAAGGTATATCTAGCGGCTTTAAGAAGAGGTAGAGCCTCTTAGCCTTGATCGTTACTAGTTCTCTATCTGTTAGGGTCTAGCTCTATCCTAGTACCTCTATAGCTCTCTCTTAGTAATCCCTTACTTAAGTAATAACCTTAATTAGCTAGGTATAGTAGTTAGATCCCTTATACCTTAGGTTACCTTAATAAGTACACTAGAGCGTTACTATAACCTACGTATAGTTAATCGTTAAGTCTCGTTCGTTATGTCACTACTATATTAGCTCTTTCTAGAGTATATATAGTAAGAGCTACTACCTATAGGCTAGATAAAGAAGGGTCTCTAATTTAAGAGTAGTCTTACCGGCTCTGTCTTAGAGTAAGTAATAAAGGTTTATATTACTTATAACGATCTATAGCCCCTCTAGGTCCTTTCTAGCGAGCCGCTAGAGAGGACTAGCCTAGCCTAGAGAGTTAGGAATTAGTAAGTATATTAACTAGACAGTAACTCTCTATAGAGTAACGTAACACTAGTCGACGCTTGTCTTTACTACTTAAGTAGAAAGTAGGTACTACTTATAGATATAGATAGCTACTCTACCTTTGCCCTTATAGACCTACTAGTACTTTACTTACGCTAAGTAGTAGACTGTCTTTATCTAAGTGTTGTACTATAGCTCCTAAATTACTATAACGTTGACTTTACGACTATCGTAAAGTACTATTAAGGTAAGGCTGTTCTTTCTTATAGTATTCTAGTATACTATTATTAATTTTATTACTAAGAGTCTAGGATCTACGATTCTTACGTTATAAAGGGGTCGCTAGACCCTTAGTTAGCCCCCTAGCTTAACATCTCTGTAATATTATAGCTCTAGACCGTTATAGTGTCTAGTACCCTAATAAGAGGGCGCCCTTACCTTACTAGAGTCTTTACTATAAGCTTCTTACTATTACCTGTCTATAGTCTCTTATATACTATAATCTAGTAGCTATTGTTACTATCTTATAAGGACGCTAGCGTAACACTAGGTACCTAGCTAGTAAAGCTACTCTTAGATACCTTAAACTGTCTAGGCCTTTATTAATATATAGTATGTACTTACTCCTTTACCTTAAGGGCCTTAAGACACTAATAGTCCTATACTACGTGTAGTCTACTATAGTTAACGTATCTCTTTCTACTATTAAGTTAAGGGCACTCCTCTTTACCTTAAGGGTACGCCGCTCTTACGTAGTAGCCGTACTAAGCCTAGTTCTTATAGAACCGCCTAATGTAGCTAAACTAGTAGTACTAGAAGTATCTTTAGATTTGTAGGTTAGCTAAATACAGCTTGTAGTTAAAGATCTAGGCTTACTAGATTAACCCTTATTTGTATAGGCGCGTTACTACGTTAGCGCTCTAAAGGTATAGTACTACTATTATAAACTTTACTATAAGGGCCTTAACAGGTTTAACTTTAACCTTTATAACATGTAGCGTATAGGCTTAGATCTTTACTAGTAACGCTCTTAGCTCTACCTGTATAATCTGTTCTACTAGTAGGCCTTTTACGATTATAGCGAACTTACTCTTATAAAGCTAGGCTATAGGCCTAAACGCCCTTTATACCTAGCCCTAATCTTAGATTACGTTCTTTAGTATAGCCTCTTTAAACGTAAGGATAGTGTTACTACTAGGTAGCTAGTAGGTCACTACTACCTTAGCGCCTCTTATTACTATATTAGCTACTGTTACTACTTTAATAACGCTACGACGTACTAGGTCCTCTATCTATCTGTCTGCCCTAATCCTTAGCTCCTTAATCCGCCTCTCTAGTATAACCTAGACTCTTGTTAGGTACTAGCTTACTACTAACGCGTAAGTAGCCTAAAGGGCCGCTATTATTACTAGCCTCTAAAAGGCCTCTTCTAACATTGTTCTTAGTTGTCTAATCGTTACTAGGTTATCGTTAGAAGAGGACCTAAGGGTACGTAAGAGGGTCGTTGTGTTTATAGCTCTTGTCTCTACTACTGTCGTCGTTATAGTAATAAGGTCGTGTAAGAGACGCGACGCCTTTTCTTTCTTACCTAGTATTACGTAGGCTTTAATCCTTTATATAATTTTCTCTGTCTTATCGTCCTTATTACCTCTACTACTCTCTAGCTCCTTACTATAGCTCTTAGTTAGGGTATAGAAGTACTAGCTCCTACCTGTAAGTAAGTAGTATTAGCTCTATTCGAGTCTAGTACACTTACTATCCGTTACTATAGGCTTGCCTATAGTCCGCTAGTACTCTAGGGGGTATCTAAAGGTACTAATTTCGATTCTATTGTTTATTTTTAAGTTTTTAGGGTAGTAAGGGACGTAGACAATCGTTCCTTAGTATTTTTAATTATATTATTATTATTATTATTATTATTATTATTATTATTATTGTTCTTACTACCTATACCTATTATATACAGAACCTCTATACTACATAAATCACGTAGTAAAACCGTACTAAAGCCAGGTAAAAACCTACGTACTACTACTTGTGTTTACACTATTATAGCGTTGCTAGAGCGCCAGGTCCTTATCGCTACCCTACTAGAACTTAACCTTCTAGCCTAGTAATACTAAACATAACGCTAGTAAGGCGCTAGTAGGGCGCCGGCTACTAGCCGGGGCTACTCCCTCTCTTATAACTCTTCTACTAGGTAGCGCTTAGCTAGACAGAACTATAAGAATTAGCCGGTAGATAGTAGCTAACAGATTAGTATACAAGCGCTCTTACCTTTCTTTATTACTATTATAAAGTTATAGAACGTCTATAGCGCTCTTAAGTAGAGCGCTTACTATAAGGCCTACTACTATTAATCTAGCTACTAGTAGTTAAGGACTAGGTAAGCTACTATCTCTAGGGCTTTACTATAAGGGTACTAGAAGGTCGCTACCTCTAGTACTCTATACTTAAAAAAGAAAGCCTAGAGTCTAACTTTACTAGTATAGATCTATATTAAAAGAGAGCTCTTATACTTATAAAAGAGTAGGTACTTCTTAAGGACATCTACTAAAGGGGCAAGTAGTACAGCTAGGGCGGCGCCCTAGTAGTATACTAGCGAGCTATTGTATTAAGACTATTATACCTTCTAGTTCCCTTATAAGGTCTCTTCTAAAAGAGAGTCCCTATACTAGTCCTTTACTTACGTAGCTTAGCCTGCCTTATACTTAAGTAACGTATAAGGTAGCGCTATAGTAGTACTATAGTAGCGTCTCTAGCGTTATTAAAGACAGGTCGCTACCTTATTATAAATAGACTATATAAGTTTACCTTTACCTATATATTTAAGACGTTATTTAAAGTCTACTACCTACTTGTTAAGGTAGAGGTTAAGTAAGAGCGTAGCTATTTTAGACTTAAAGAACCGGATAGGTATTACTTAGTACGCCCTTATAACGATATAGAGGTACTATAACTACTTTATAGTAAGGTCCTTTACAATCTTCTTAGCTTACTACCTAGAGAGGTAGTACTAGACCCTTACGCTATATACTATAGTACTCTAGATTACTTTTGTATAGATCTCTCTTACGCGTAGTAGGCTATATCCTTACGTAAACGTAGTAAGCCTTATAAGCGCAAACTACTAGGTAACAAACTTTTGTTTAATAGTATTAAGGTAGCCCTTTTATCTAAGCTTCTAATCTATCTAAACTTCTAGAAAGCGCGCCTTTTAGACTAGGGGTATAACCTAGCTATTAAGGTAGACAGGCGTTATTAGTATAGTATAAGCGTAAGTAAGGTAAAGAAGCTTACTCTTTTTTAAGGTAAACTCTATCCTTCTTATACGTGACTACTAGCTACATGTCTACTACGCCTCTTTAAGGTACCGGCATATCTCTATCGTATCTTTACTAAAAGCTAAGAGGTTAAGGTCGTTAGTAAACCTTACTATAATAAGGCCTGTATAACCTTATAGTAGCGTATATAAGCTAGTAGTATAAAGAAAGAAAAGAATAAGAGAGAAGAGCAAACCTTATAGTACTTTTATAGTAACTTCTTAAGGCGGTACCGCCTCTTTATTAAAGAAGAGACTAGCCGTCTGATTAGTAAGGAAGCTATATACCTACTATACAGCTTATATAAGGAACCTTAAGTACTAGAGAGTATAGAAAAGGCGTATATAGTTTACTATATTAAAGGCGCCTCTAATATTAAGTTAGAAGAGGGACGCTATAGCCTTATAGCTTTACGCTATATATGTAGTATTAACTACTATTTTAACTATAAGGTCTATTAAGCGCTATAGCCGGTTTCTTATCTACGTTTCTAAGAAGAGCCCTTACGACTCTATAGTATTAGTAAAGTACTAACTAATTACTAACTTAATTACTTTGCCTATTACGTTTAAGAGTAATATCGGCCTATAGGCCCTAGCGGTTTGTTACTACTTAAGGGTCTTTCTAGGCTTATGTAGTACTACTACCTTTACTACTTTAAATTATATAGGAAAGTACCTTAGCTAGAGGCTTGTAGTTACTATTAGTGTAAAGAGCTTAGCTAGAGAGCGCTTATATGCCTTAAGGAAGCCGGTAGGTAGTAGGTTAAGGCCTAGCGCCTTTTAAGTACCTGTCTTTTAGAGAACGTTAGTAATATCTACCTTTATTATAGTATCGTTAATAGTAAACTATTAGTACTACTTGTTCTAAAGGTCTAGAACAACGTTACTAAGATTAGCTATTAATTCTAAAAAGAACTACTGGCCTAACACTATTGTTTTGTTATAGTAGCTTATAGCTAGTACCTTCTTATTAGCGGCCTATAAAGACAAGAGTAAGGCCGGTTCTAAGGGTATATAGCTATAGAGCCTAGCCTACTTCTTAAGACTCTAGAGTTTTTATTAGTCCTTTAAGGTAGCGGTAAGGGCGCTACGCTAGCTCTTAGTTTTTATATCTTAGATCGTATAGAGTTAATAAGTACTAGCTTACTAGAGGTCGCGCTAGTAGAGCTTAGTTAGGGTAGTAGCGTATTAATAGCGCGCTACTTATACTTACTAGATAGCCTTAAGGACCTTACTGTTTTACTAAGGCTTAGTACGCCCTTAGTTAACCTTCTTTCTTAGAGTAGATATGTCTATAATACGTACGAGCTAAGAGGTAAGCGAGTTAACTGTCTTGTTAACCTTATAAGGTATGTCTAGCGGCCTTAAGAAGAGGTAGAGCCTCCCGGCCTTAATCGTTACTAGTTCTTAGTCTATTAGGGTCTAGCTCTATTATAGTACCTCTACGGCTCTCTTTTAGTAATCCCTTACTTAGGTAATAACCTTAATTAGCTAGGTACAGTAGTTAGATCTCTTATACTCTAGGTTACCTTAATAAGTATACTAGAGTGTTACTATAACTTACGTATAGTTAATCATTAAGTCCTGTTTATTATGTCGCTACTATATTAGCTCCTCTTAA